GTCGTCGTCGTACTATACTATATATATATATATATATATATATATATATATATATATATATATATATAATAATATAATATATATATATATATATATATAATATAATAATAATAAAATAACTATATAGTATATACTATACTATACATATATATATATATATATATATATATATATATATATGTTTTTGTCTAACTTATTTTGTGAAATATATTTCGTTTGCAACAAAGATGTCGAGTCTAACTTTCAGTATTGACTAATATTTGTGTTTGTTTATCCAAAATAGGAATACAAACAAAGTCCGGAACAACATGAGGGATGTAATCTATTCTTTGGCGGAAACAGCAATCTTGTAGGGGTTGTTGCTTCTGAAAATAAGTCAAAGAACAATACCACAACAATAAACTTTGCTACGGAGACTTTTCATTAGAGATACTCGCTGATGCGCTACACTTCATCACGACTGTCATACACCAACATCTATGTATCATATCACATTTTTAGCCAAATGCCTCCTGGTTGCCCTCTAAGTACCACACCGTTCCTTCTTCTGTGAGTGAAACTTTGGCGCCAACATGATTCTTAACAACCATGTGAGCCTACCGAGTGCAGCAGCTGGTGAAGCCATGTAATCCAACTTTACTGACAACCCCTTTGACGTTAGCGATGCGGCCTACATTCACCTCACCCACGTCACAGGTAATACATACATACATATATATATATATATATATATATATATATCTATGCATATATATACCTATGTATATATTCTCTCTATCTAACTATCTATATCTAACTATCTATATCTATCTACCCATCCAACTAACCATCTATATATATATATATATATATATTTATATATGTGCATATATATGCGTATAGACACATATATACACAAAACACACACACACACACACACACATATATATATATATACCTACCCAGATAGCCACCACACACTCACACACACATATATATATATAGATATATATAGATACATAGATATATATATACATAATATATATATATATATATATATATATATAGATATAAATATAGATATACACCGTCATGTAGTAACGTGCTTGTGATACATAACACCATAGGATGACCTGATGGTATATTTCTACGTAGCGCCCAGTAACACCATGGGCTGACCTGATTGTATGTTTCTATGTAGCGCCCAATAGCTTCACGATTTCTGTTTATTGATGATGTGGTCAAGCATTTTGCTCCAAGTTTTGGGTTGAGTATTTATGATAAACGTATTAGGTTTCCATTCCACTATGATACAAGCACAGCAGCAGTTGCGTAGATGTAGCACATTCCCTTGATTTTCAGTACATATAGTACTGATAACTGCAGTAACTGGCTCGGGTTGTTTAGTACGTTACTGAGGCATGGGTGCTGTACATTCCTCACAGCCAAAGGGATACTTGCACCCACATAAGCAAGCTAACTCGTCCCAGTAATTTCGGTCCTATTGGCCGACATACTGTGAAGGCATAAATGCGGACACACCAGACTTACCAGCCAAAGTGCAAAGCCTTTATTCGGTCTTTATACATAGTCTTCTAATTAGACACTTAAAATTTATATCATGTGTTGTTCGAGGATACTCATTCTCTTGACAGTGGCTACACCACACAAATTTGGAAACTGACGATAGAACGCTAAACCCTAAATATCTGTGTAAAGTAAGGCTATTTATGTACGACTGTACGTTACCACACAGAGGGTTGAGGCGTGAGGGCTTGCGGATTCGGGATTTGAACTTATGAAGTTGAGAGTTGAGTGTATTTGAGGAGTTTTTAAAATCCAAAAAACAAAAACAGAGGAGCATGAGGCAAAGAACATCTATTTTATAAAAACAAATTACAAAACATATTTGTTTTCAGAAAAAGAATCTTTGGAAGCCCAATAACTTGTCCTTCTCGTTTCATATAAACATGTTCGGTACTGACCTTAGACTTTTTTTTTTTTGAAATATAAGCAGTAGTCACGATTCCCTTGTCCTCAGTCCCCCCCACTTCACAGCAGTGATATTTGTAGCGATTGTGGCACCAACCAAAGCAAAACTGAAGTGCAGCGTACTTTGATTCTGGTACGTGTCCTTGTGTGTGGCCTTCTTTGTATCTCCGACTGTTCAATGCGCAATAGCAACTACTGTTAGTTACATTAGCAATTATTCTTCGTCGTGTACGTTTTCTGCAGTCGTTGGATGCTTTGAATCGTACTCTGGGAAAGACACTGCAATTTTGTTCATACTTCCGGCAAGTTATTCCGCGTACACCTGACCAAATATTTTCATACTTTCATATCGCAGATCTTCATCCCACAACAATGTCATCTGCTATGTTCACCCGTCTGACACCTGCCTTCAGGCAATCCACAACCTGTGCTCGAGTAGCTCTTACTTCGCGCTTTGCTGGTATGTTTATACATGTGGACCCGGCCATATGACTTACTACTTACTACTTATTGTACTATGGTCGGCTTCACAACTAAAATTTTTCTCCCGAGTTCGATCGCGTTGCTCATTCTTCCAGAGGTACACCTTGCATATACAAAAAAAGTTTGCGGGCACACATTGCAAGTCTGTCGACAAATTGCGTGGATTTACCGAACAGGTCGTATGAATACCACTCATCTGTCGTTTTGCATTCTCTATTCTATCAAAAATTCATTTAAGGCCGCAATTTCCATGCCGCCCCCGTTGCTATGCAAGGTAAGCACTGTTGTGAATTGAAGCTGTCTGAGGTCTAATCGCTTGAGTTTTACCTTTGCGTCCTTGCTGCATACAATGCACATAACTTGGTATACTAATTTTCATCACGGGGTTGATCGCAAACGTACATTAAAGCAGCAATGGGCATGAAGGAATCTACGCATTGGAAAGCTGAACGTGTCGTCAGTGTTGGATCTCTAGCTCTTATTCCCGCTGCTGCTGTAGTCGGTCCTTCGTTGCCGGTAAGTTGTGGCGTCTGTTTTGTACGAGGTCGAGATATCGAACGTAGGGTGGCGTATTGTGGGAGGCGTTCGTCTGTATACATGTTCACTGCGTCAGCACTCACCAAGCAACTACAGTCGTTGGGTGGCGCCCTTTGGTTGTTAATGAAGTGATTTGTTAAGTTCTTAGCGTGGTGGAGCTAGGTAGTGAGGACGAATTGTGTCAACGAGATTTTACCAAGTCCCGTTTGTTGTGTTTTATTGAGGTTAACAGATATATCGACATCAATGCCATGTTCGCTAAAGTCTCCAAGCCATTCTATTGAGCAGATCGATATGGCGATGGCTGTTGTGCTACCGCTACACTCATACTGGGGTATGGAGCAAGTATTCACCGACTATGCAAAGGGTATTTTCGCACCATTGTCTACAGTATTGAATGTTGTTGTACATGTGGGAACGGTCGGCGGACTCATCATGTTCAACTTAAATGACGTGGGTATCACCAAGGCTGTACAACAGCTCTGGGCATTGTAGAGTCTGTGATATCGATGGTATTTAGTTAAACCAACTCGGGAATAAATTCGTGTCACCGACGATGTCACCTCAAGCAGCAGATTCCTGAAATTCAAAACGGAATAAGTGTTGCGCAAGTAAGTGCTGAATGTTAAGTACTTCGATTATCTAACGACGACGACGACGACGATGATGATGATGCGAAACACATATACAATCAGAGGTCTACGAAAATAAGTAGATTATTTTACGTCAATGGCTCGCGAGTGGAGAACTTGTAGGTGCGCACCGGTCGGTGTGTACATCAGCGGTGCCATTTTATATGTTCATACACGTATGCATATCTGCGAACCTCGATCATACATCCGCAGAGTTGTCGTGTGCATCAGCGGTGCCATTCTATGTTTATATCCGCAAAGTCGTGTAATACCAAGTTATGAGGTTCATTCCTATATGCGATAGCATCCTTCCCCTTCCACTGCGTTGAAGAACAAAATTTGTCATTGGTGGCCCCTATGCCTGCAAAATAGCTACTATGCAATATGCCGATTCCAGATGAAACAGTGAGGTGTAAAACATTGAAGGAGGTCAAGCGATTTTTTTTGATATAAATATATAAATATATAAATACAACACACAGACACACAAACACAGACGCAGACATAGACACAGACACGCATACACACAGACATATATATATATATATATATATATATGCATACATACATATATACACGTATACACAGACACAGTCACAGACACAGATATATATATATATATATATATATACTACACACACTCACACACACTATATAACTCACACACAATATAGTTATATAT